TTGTTTTCTATGTGATGCTTTTGTTAATAGAGAGGATGAGAGAGTTGGGTGGGGAGAGTATTTTCCTTCTGTTATTTCCCATTATACTGTCTTCTTTATTTAAGAAGGTATGAAATGACTTTTCTACTTCACTACACAGAGCCAAGTTTTTAAATACAATACCAAGTCATTAAATGCCAACTTTGGATAAGAGTATTTCTTTATGTCTTCCTTTTAAACCTTTGAAAAGGAGCTTTAAATTGTCAGCAGATTCAAAACTGCACCACTTCAAATTAAAGTAGAGCCAATTAAGCTAGAATGCAAAGTTAATCCAAAAATACAATTAGCACTGCATCCGGGAAGAGGTTACACTATAAGCAAGAAATGCTTACAAATGACACACTAAAATTTTATAAGGAGAAGAGAGGTAGATGGGCCATGAGGTAAACATAATAACATTGTAAAGGTGCAATATAAATACAGAGATCTGTGGCTGATGTTTTATAACAAATTTTAATTTTAAAATGCTATGTTAGAATCACTATGTTGTAGACAAGTTATACATCCATGTAGATCTGGAGCCATAGAAATGTATTTAAAAATATGTATGCAGCAGTTTGCAGACTTCAAGAGCAATCTGTTAGAAATGAAATTATTGCAAGTAGTAATATAGTAATTAAAGAAAAGAAGAAGAAGAAGAAGGAGAGGGAGAGGGGAGAGGGAGGAGAGGAAGAGACTATATTGTGCCTTAAGTTATTTAAAAATCATTCTTTTAAAGTAAAAATCCTATTTTAATCTTGGTATTTTGAAATCCAATGGACATGATGAGCTTGTGCAATTAAAAAAAAAAAAACACTGCCTAGGAAATCAGTGTTGTAGTCCACACCTGTTAGTAAATAGGTATGCAAATTTAAACAAATTATTTTGCCTCCTTGGCTGCTTTCTTCACTGTAAAATGAAAGGAGTATATTTGATAAACTTTCAGGGTCCTTTAACTTCTAAAGTTCTAAGTGTCTAATAAGAACTTTAAAAATTTATTTTATGGGCCTTATTGTTTTAGATCTAGAATCAAAATTTTCCAACCAATTTGATTAAAGATTGATGAAGAGACATAAAAAATTTAACATATGTCCAGTCTATATCTAATTCTCCTAATGAAGATGCTCTGTTCTATGAAAATATGAAGTTAGTTCACATGTATAGTATAGTTTGATGTTTCCTTAAGAAAGTCATTTGTACACCTGAAACATATAACACTGTATGTTAATTATAATTTAATAAACAATAAATAAAATTAATTAATATTTCAAATAGTAATTTATCAGTTCCAATTATTTATTCAGTATATAAATAGTAGTCATCATATTGTAATGGTGTAAGTATACTTACCTTTTCTAGTCAATTTTCCTTGGGATAATTGAATTATGATAAATGTACACTGATATGTTTCATAATTATTTCAGTGGATCATCTTTTTTCATTCATTCAATTATTAATTCAATAAATATTAAATGTCTATGAAATATCATGCAACATTTCAGTCACTAAAGATTCCACAGTTTAAAAAAAGCCCCTTGTCTCAGAATAGAAAAGTAAACCAATGAAGCATAGTAAATATTATAGATGTGGCACTACAGAGCAGTGGTAAAAGTGTTATTAATAATTAATTCTGTGAGGGACACCTGGGTGGCTCAGTTGGTTAAACATCTGCCTTCAGCTCAGGTCATGATCTCAGGGTCCTGGGATCAAGTCCCACATCCAACTCTCTGCTCATCGGAGAGCCTGCTTCTCCCTCTGCCTTCTGCTTCCCCTGCTTGTGCTCTCTCTCTCTCTGATAAATAAATAAATAAAATCTTCAAAAAATAATAATAATTAGTTCTGTGAAAGCACTGGGTGTTATACACAACTAATGAATCATTGGACACTACATCAAAAACTAATGATGTACAGTATGGTGGCTAACTTAACATAACAACAACAACAAAAATAAGATAGTAGAAGCTACCAAAAAAAAAAAAAAGAAAGGAAAATTGATTATACATATAGAAAAAAATGAATTCTTTCCCAACTTCAAATCACACACTAGAAAACATTTCTGGCTAAATTAAATAAATCAACTACATCCAAACTACTAATTCCTGTTCATTAAACAAGACAGATCTTAAATAAGAGTGAAAAATAAGCTACCATGTGGTAGAAGATATTTTTAAAATGTAAAGTTAGTAAGGATTAGTATACAGATTATATAAAGAAGTGTCACAAATAAGAACAAGACTATCAATATATGTGAATAGGTGTTTCATAAAAGAAGACAACCACATGGCCCACAACAATATAGAAAAGGTATTCAATTTCATTAGCCATTATATAAATAAATTTTAAATAGCAAACATTATAATTCAGCCACAAGACTGAATGAAATTTTACAGACTGACAATATTAAATATTAAATTTTTACAAGAATATAAAGCAGTGGGAACTATTGTATAGTTCTGAGGTGAGTACAATTTGATACAATCACTTTAGAAAATCGACATTATCTACAAGTTGGAAGATATACATACATATGATCTAGCAAGTCCACTCCTAATTATATTATATTCCAGAGAAACTCATGCGTATGTGTGCCTGGATACATGTACAAGAATATTGATAGTAACCTTATTTGTAATAATCCAAAAATAAGAACAATCCTATGTCCATCAACAGAAAAGAGATAAATTAATTTTGGTATATTCATTTAGTGGAATACTATACAACAATGAGAATGAACAAACTGCAATGTTGCCATGGATGAATCTCACAAAGACAATTCCAAAAAAAAGTATACAATGAATTTCTATTTATACATATTGTAAAAACAGGCAAAGGCAAACCATGCTATTTTGGGATGCATACATATGTGGTGAGACTACAATGTATAGCAGAAAAGTGATTCTAATAAAACTCAGGATAGTTATGTACTCCTAGGGAGGAATGATGTTTTGATAAGGAAGAACAAGATATTGAGAGACAAGGGACTGTATCTGGAGTACTGATAAAATTCTTTGGGTTTTTGTTATTGTTGTTGTTGTTTTCACCTGGATTGTGGTTACATTAGTTATCACTTTGTAAATATTTGTTAAATTATGGTTTTATGTTTCATTCACTTTTCTGTGTCCATATATATTTATATAGACAGAAAGAATGGAAGAATGTAAAGAGTACATATGTAGAAAATTTGTTCAAATATATTTTCTCTAAAGAGGAGCAGAGATAAGTGATAATAACTAGAGTAGCGGGCAAGATCAAGGAAAGAATTTAAGACAGGAAGGCTTTATTACATGTTTATAGGCATCTGGCAATGAAACAGGAGAATGGGATCAACTTATTACAGAGTAGGAAAAGGCAAAGACAGAAAAAATACATAGACGAGAGCCTGAAATCTAGTGCATAGTGGAATGATTGTCTTTATCAAGATGGAAAGATAGTTCATCCATAATAACAGGATAAAATTGTAATAGAAACATAGAAGAAAGTAGTTTCGTAGATTTAAAGGTGGGGTTTGTTGGATGTTTCTCTTCTCATAGCCTCAATTTCCTATAAAATTAGAATTAATTTCATCATCTGAGATTCAGGAGAGTTGGAGAAAGTGATAGATATTTGAGGCAAGCTAAGTAATCTAGGAAAGTGAGAAAAAATTGACTAATAAAATGAAATAGGGGGCACCTGAGTGGCTTAGTCAGTTAACCCTCTGCCTTCAGCTCAGGTCATGATCTCAGGATCCTGGGATGGAGCACCGCAATGGGCTCCCCACTCAGCAGGGAGTCTGCTTCTCCCTTTCCCTCTGCCCCTTCCCTCACTTGTGCTCTCTCTCTTTCTCAAGTAAATGAAAAAAATCCTTAAAAACTGAAGTAGGATTATCAGGCTTATTTGAAATTAGTACTTTTGATTTTTAAGTAAAAGCAGTTACATTGTGGGATTTCTTTTCTAATCACGTCACTGTCCTTCCATGGTCTGCAGTTTAATAGACAAGAAAGACAACTAGCACATATATAAATAGTCTAATAAAATACCTCATTTGTTGAGGAATCTATGTGCAACAAGAATACCTACTGGTGAAAATTTCTAGCAGTGTTTTTTGTTTTTTGTTTTTTTCTCTCCTTAAGTGTTATTAAAAGCTAGAATACTCCTGAAAATAGTAATCCTACTTCTCAAGCTTTGGTTTTTCTTCCACTTTTATTATATTCTCTAGGTTATCTCATCCAACAGTATGTATCCAGCCACAACCTATGCACAAATACTTCTGAAGTCTCAAAACTCATCTTCTTCCTGTGGTCTCTATCTCAATTATTAAAAACATCACCTATCTAGTCATTCAAATAAAAACCTTGAACATCATCTAGGATTCCTCTTTCCTTCATCTCTGCATCCAATCACTAAATTATGCTGGTTTTAACTCTATAACATTTCCCAGGACAAAGTGTAATCAAGGAGATCAATAAAGAAGCTATATAAATAAAGTAGGAAAAAGAATAGTAGTTTGAACTAACAAGGTAACAGATTAAAGAAGCATAGAAGAGGTAAAATCTCCAAGTCTTAATAGTCAGATTCTAGAGGTTTAGAAAAATATCCGAGATTTGATAATGAAATACTGAGGCTAAAGGAGAGGGGGGTGTCAAGAAAAACTGGCAGTTTTCTTGCTTGACATTACTGAATAGTTGGGCATGAAATTCACTGGATAGAGAATATTGGGAAGGGTATTGGAGACCTTCAGATGGTGGGCATAATAAATTTGGCTTTGTATTTTATTGAGTTTGATATGGAAGGATGGGGTACTAAGTAGGCAACTGGATATGCTGTCAGACAAATATGTAAGAGGAAAACCAAGAGAGTATTGTGTCTTGGAAGCCAAAAATTAATTTTTCAAGAAGTAATGAATGTGCAAAAGTATGAAATGTTGCTAAGAGGTCAAGTAAATTGAGGACTGAAAAATATCTGCCTACTTAGTGATCTGGAAATCATGGTTTATTAAACAAGAAATGGTTTGTAGAATCCAGATTGGACAAATCAAAGAATGGGTGGGAGTTGAGGAAATGGAGGCACTTTCACCTTTTGAGAAGTTTGACTGTGAAGGGAAGATTGGTAATTATAATTTTACAGATATCCATCTTCCTTTTGGTAGATTTTCAAGCTGTGTTACTGAGGTGCAGGTATATAAAATGGAAATAAACAAAGCTCATCCACTTTAGTACTTTGTTAGATGGTGTGAATGAAAGACAGAAGGCAAGTGAGTTTGGAGTTTTTGTAAGAGTGTTATTAAAATTATGAATCATGGAATCAAAGCTGGATGTGACAGAGAATAAATAAAAATTAGATCTGATGGAATGGTATACAATGGAGGGATCAGTGAGCCATGAAGTTGAAGTTTTGGTCAGAGAGTAAAATCATTTGATCAGTGATAGTAAGGGTGACAGTTATAGGGACTGTTAAGATCCAAGGTGTGACAGTGAGAACATGTTGCTGAAAGAAAATTGAGAACTCAATGGAGATGAGGAGGTCAAGGAACTGAGAGGCTTGGAAGTCATCAGGAATGACATCGGAAGTAGAGATGAAGGAAAGACTGAACCATTTAACAAAATCATTACTAAATGCTGGAAGAGTGAGTAGGTGGGGAACTGGATAGTGTGTATCTCAAAGGAGCAGAGGTTTTTGTTGTTGTTGTTGTTCTATTTTTTTTTTCTTTTTTCAAGCTGTTTGGAGACTTTTGGTCCCAAAATATCAAAGGGACCAAGGGAAATACCCAATCTCCAGAGGCATATGGAGTGTGAGAGAAACATAAAATCATGGTTCAATAGTGTTGCAGGGGCAGGCAGCTGTGTTGTTAGGGGAAAGCTTGGTTCCAGTTCATGGAGGGAATCCTTAAAGAAGTGGTAAAAAAAATGAGGGAAATGCTGCAGATTATGCACCTAAGTTCTGGAAGGCACATTGGAATTGTTTGGAAAGTGAAGGAAATATTTGGAGTGGGTGGATTATGATGGTGCCAGAGAGGCTCAAGTGGCCAGAAGTGTTTATGCTTTAGATGTTGAATGATAAAGACAAGGCTAGAGGAAGGTGTACTGAGTCTTTGAGCTTTTTGAGTACATGGTCTGTGGTCCAAGTGGTCAGAGGGCTTGTCTCACTTGTCCAAGGTGATGGCATCCCCAGAAGATGTAGTTTCCAAGACTGCAAATTCTGACTGACAGCAAATCTCAAACCCTCAGACATACTCTCTGGTCCAGACTAACAATTTTTTTAAAGTGCTCAAAGATACCATATTGTATTGCCTCCAGGCCTTTGCACATGCTGTTCCCTCTGCCTGGAATGTTCTTTAGTCCTCTGTCTATGCCTTTAGGGCACCTTTTCCTTTCCCTCACTAAGCACTCACCAACAACAACCTCTTAGTTTGTCTGTCTCCTTGATCAGACAGTGAGAGCTTTTTTTTTTTTTAAGATTTTATTTATTTATTTGAGAGAGAGAGAGAGAACACATGAGGCGGGGGGAGGGTCAGAGGGAGAAGCAGACTCCCTGC